GGTTCCGAGTCAGCGCCCACCTTCATTTTCGGCGGCGCGGGCGGGGGAACAGATACGCGGGATGCTGCGCTACGGCGTGTTGGGCTGGCGGTGGCTGTGTATTCGGACCTGGCCAGCGACATGACGATCGAGATCGGTGTTCGGGGCGGGCTCCCAGGAGCCACCCAGACCGTGGCGCGAGGCGAGCTGTACGCCTTGTACCTCAAGGTGCGAGGAGGCTGTGGGCACATCGTCTTCGTCACCGACAACGCTGCAGTTTGTTCAGGCCGGTATAACAGCCTCCATCTCGCCCCAGCAGGTGAAAACGCAGATCTCTGGTTCCTCATGGGCTCCGTCTTGGAAGCACGAGGCTCTCGTTTGTCAGTAACTGTTCTCTTTGTGCACTCTCATCAGGAGGCAATAGATATGTGTAACAGTAGGATCCCAGTCCCACTCATCCTTGGTAACGCCGTGGCCGCCGAATTAGCTGGAATAGCTGCGGGCACAGTGCGAGTGGAGCCCAATGTACGTGTACAGGTGTTATCGCACCGAGCGCATGGCACACCTTGTGAGAATGAGAATTGTGGTTGGGCACGTTGGAAGCAAGTGAGGCCGAGAAAGATCATGGGGGCCCGAGGCCCCGTCTGAGGTACCCAGGTCCCTGCCCTCCTGTACCCAATGATCTGTCGTATGTTTAGGTCTCAGCATCAGCTTAGTGAGTCAGGCCTTAGTTGTGAATGATGCAAGGGGTCGACCTCACAAGGCCAGAAGAAGGCCTGGCTGGACTCTCCATGTTTTCCCCTTTTCACGGGCGATGGTGCAGTTTGGGAACCCCCTCCAGGGCAGCGGGTGCACGTTGGGGGGGGGGGGGGGGGATATGCCCATTCTTCTCACCATCTTAAATATCATACCGGACTGGCGGTGTGGTGTTGCACTACCTGTGGAAGCTCTGCTGCCGAACAGCTAACTAAGTTATCCAAAGAGTGCGATCCCAAGCGAAGTCGTCAAGACTACCTTAATAGCATTCAACAGAACTTATGGCCCAAACAAGATAGCAAAGCTGAGGGAGCCAAGCGTGCCGCTGGCCCGTGTAAGTTTGATGGTTGGGGTCCCTATTAGTAACAGGCACAGTCGCAATATCAGTAACTCCGTAACGCCTCCTCCTCCTCCGCCTCATACCTCCTCCTCCTCCTCCTCCGCATTGTCCTGCCTCCTCCTCATCCTCTTATTATCCCTCCTCCACCACCACCACCATCATCATCAGCATCATCATCATACTCATCACAATCATCATCATCATCAAGATCATCATCATCATCAGCATCATCATCAGCAGCATCATCAGCATCCTCTTCCTCTTCCCATACTCAATATCATCCTCCTCCGCCTTGTCCTCCTCCTCCTCCTCTTCCCCCTCATCCTCCTCCTCCTCCCCGCCTCCTCATCGTCGTCATCATCCTCAGCATCATCACCATCAGCATCAGCATCACCAGCAGCATCAGCATCATCATCATCATCACCGACAACAACAGCATCATCATCACCATCAGCATCAGCATCATCATCATCGTCAGCAGCATCATCAGCAGCATCATCGTCATCTACACCATGACCATCATCAGCGTCATCATCGGCGTCATTAGCATCATCATCATCAGCATCAGCAGCATCCGCATCATCAGCATCAGCATCAGCGTCAGCATCATCATCGTCATCATCAGCATGCTTATCACCAACATCATCATACTCCTCAGCAGCATCATCACCCTCGTCAGAACCATCATGTGCATCATCAACATACGCATCGGCATCAGCATCAGCATCATCACCATCGTCGTCAGTATCATCACCAGAACCACTATCGCCATCATCATCAAGTCATCATCACCAGCATCAATATCGACAGCAGCAGCATCACCATCATCACCATAATCAGCATAACCATCATCATCCCCAGTATCATCATCAGCATCATCACCGTCAGCATCATCATCACCATCATAATGGCATCGTCAGCATCATCTTCGTCACAAGCATCAGCATCATCGGCATACTCATCATCATCATCATCATCAGCATCAGCATCAGCATCATCAGCATCATCATCAGCAGCATCCTCAGCATCGAGAGCATCATGATAATCACCAACATCATCATGACCAGCAGCAGCATCATCATCACAGCATCCGCACCATCATCGGCATCATCATCATCATCATCAGCATCATCAACATCATCATCATCATCATCATCATCATCATCATCATCATCATCATTATCACCAGCATCATCGTAAAAACGGGCCAGGCGAGCCGAGGCCACACATGGCCCGATTCCGCCTCCTCATCATCCTCCTCCTTCTGCTCCTCCTCCTCATCCTCCTCCTCCTCCCTCCTCCCCCCCGCCTCCTCCTCCTCCTCCTCCTCCTCCTCCTCCTCCTCTGTCTCCTCGTCCTCCTCCTCCTCCTTCTCCTCCTCCTCCTACCTCCTCCTCCTCCTCCTCCTTCTCCTCCTCCTCCTCCTCCTTCCCCTCCAAACACATGGGGCCCAAGGCGCGTAGATCCTTTTGGCTCGAGCGCGTCATGGGCCCTGCCCCGCCGCCTCGTCGCGGCGTGTTTGTGGCTATCCGCACCTCTTGTCTTCTTTCTTGAGGTGTGGATCGTCTAAGGGCGGGGCGAAGTGTTGCAGTCAAGCTTCATTCAATTTAGGTTTTTGTTCTGTCGGTGATTCTCAAGCGAATCGGCTGTCGTGAGCAGGATGGTTTGGGTAATTATCTTCTCCGCTTTCCTGTGCACATTCCTCATTGTCCGTCTCGGGTGCGGGGCCTATGGGGGGAGCCTGGTTGTGCACTAACCCACCCGCCCGCACCCGAGCGTACTATTTCAAGCTGGCGGGCCGCGTTTCGAGGGACCTGGGGATGCAGAGGGTGTGGGCGTCATCGTTCTTTGCGGTTGGTGTCGGCCTCATCGCATGCAATAATGTTGAAGATCGCGGCAATGTTTGTGTTCAGTCGGTTTGGCTTCAGAGCTACACATGTCGGCGCACAGGCTTCCTGGCCAATGTGCTTGTGCTGCCATGGTGCTGCATCGCTGGAGGTATGGGTCTCGTCGTGTCTGTATTCTGCGTGTCGAGGGACCTGAGGGTGCAAGGGTTGTCCCAATCATATTTGTATTGTGGCGCTGTCCTTTAGCATTCAATAATGGTGAAGCACGTGGTTTATTTTCTCGGCATCATACACTCAAGTCGGCGTGCTGTCTCCCTTGTCAGTGTAATTAAAGTTCGCGCACGCGGGTACGATCTTTTGTTTTGCTATTGTGGGGCTGTCTGTGGAGGAGGCGATCCCCTTTGGGGGTTGCCCGATGACCAGCGGTGCGTTACACATCATTGATGAATGGGCCGCATCGAGCCGATTTCACCTCAGCTGAACTTGTGTCAATCTCTATGGTTGTGGTCGTGCACGTCTTCCACCATTCCCTCTTCTACGTGGAGATGGTCATTGGGTGGTTTCATTGTGAAGACTTCGTCTTATGGTCATGCTCATGCTCGTGCTCATACTCCTCCTCCCCCTCCTCCGCCTCCTCCTCCTCCTCATCCTCCTCCTCCTCCTCTCTGCCTCCTCCTCCTCCTCCTCCACCTCCACCTCTACCTCCTCCTCCTCCACCCCCACAACCTCCCCCTCCTCCTCCTCCTCCTCCTCCTCGTCCTCCTCCGTCCTCCTCCTCCTCCTCCTCCTCCTCCTCCTCCTCCTCCTCCTCCCCTCCTCCCTCCTCCTCCTCCTCCTCCTCCTCCTCCTCCTCCTCCTCCTCCTCCTTATCCTCCTCTTCCTCGTCCTGCTCCTCCTCCTCATTATTCCCCTCCTCCTCCTCCTTCTCCTTCTCCTCACCATCATCATGATCGTCATCATCACCATCATCATCATCATCATCATCATCATCCTCATCGTCATCATGATCGGCATCATCATCAGCAGCATCAGCATCACCATCATAATCAGAAGCAGTATCACCATCACCATCACCATCATCATCAGCATCATCACCAGTATCATCATCACCATCAGCATAAGCGTAAGCATCAGCATATGCACCATCATCACCATCGTCGTCATCGTCAGCATGATAAACCATCATCGTCATCAGAATCGTCATCATCATCACAACATGATCAGCAGCATCATCATCATCGACAGTATCATCATCGCCAGCATCACCAGCATCATCATCACCACCATCATCACCATCGCCATGAGCATCATCATCACATAATCATCATCAGCATCGCCATGAGCATCATCATCACATAATCATCAGCATCATTGTCCGCAGCATCATTACCATCATCAGCATCATCATCAGCATCATCACCAGCATCGTCATCACCATCAGCATCATCACCAGCATCACCATCACAGCATCAGCATCAGCACCACCATCAGCAGCATCATCATCACCAACATCATCTTCAACACGGGCCAAGCGAGCCGAGGCCACCTGGCCCGACACCGCCTCCTCCTCCTCCTCCTCCTACTCATAATCATCATCGGCAGCAGCATCAACATCAGCATCATCATCATCATTATCAGCATCATCATCAGAATCAGCATCATCATCTTCAACCTGGAGCCAAGGCCACCGAGGCTACGGGCGGGGACGGACCGACGCGGCCCTTCCATCCTCCCGGCCCCAATCCTCCCCCTTCCCCTCCTCCTCCTCCTCCTCCTCCTCCTCCTTCTCCTCGTCGTTGTGTTGCTACCGATGCTTCTCGCGCCTTGCTGGGCGGGGCCAGCGTGGCTGCTGGAACGTGCCGCTCGGCAACTCGGCAAGCTGGCTGGAACAACACAAAGTGTAAAGCTGTTCTCTCGAAGTGCGGAGGCCGAAAGCGAAGCAACCGAGGGTGAGGGAGCGCAGAGGAATCAGAAGGTCAGGCTCCTGTTCGGCGGCGGGGACTCAACAAAGGGCATAAGTTCAACCTCCTCATCCTCCTCCTCTTGCTCCTCCTCATCCGCCTTTCACGAATGTAATCCCCTGAAGCAGAAACCACCAACAGAAAGACGACGTCAAACAACACAGACCCATACCTATACCGAGCAGACGTCGTCGTCATGGACCCTTGTTGGTGTACCTTTTGGTGGCGCGGGCGCCTGTGTCGAAGCATCTAGAGCGGGGCGCGGGCAACGAGAGTGGCCAAGGATGGGCCGAGGAGGCAGGGATGCGAGGGTCCCCGTTGGGAAGGTTGCTGATCCTTACTATGCGGGCTGACTGGCCGGAGGGGCTTCTCTCAGGAACCTCCTGCCTTCTCCGAAGCACCCCCGCCTCCTGAGAAGGCCGCCCCCCTCGCGCCGTCACGCCGCCAACCCAGGACCAGGGCCGATGCCCCTGCTGAGGCCCAAGAAGACTCCATTTCGTGCTCGCCCAGCCGCCACTCGGAACTCGAAGCCTGTCGCCTCGCGAATGGCGTCCACAGTCACGCCCGGGGCGATCTCAACGAGGATGGGAGAGGCCTCGCGGGAGGATGCTGTGGGACAAGGCCCCCCACCTCCTCGCGTCACGGAAGCAATCGAAGGTAAATGTTCCTTCATGTTCGGCCGTCTGAGGCCCTCACCATCGAGGGCGAATGTTCCCCCATGCTCGGCCGTCTGATGCCCTTTTTCCCGACCCCGGGACAATCGGAAACGACTCAAGATGAGAAGCTGGTCCCAGGGCAAAGGTCGGTACCTTCGAGAGCTGACGCTGCGAGAGCGAGCACGACTTCGGAGCTACTACTACTACTACTACTACTACCACCACCACCACCACCACCACCACCACCACCACCACCACCACCACCACCACCACCACCACCACTACTACTACTACTACTACCACCACCACCACCACCACCACCACCACCACCACCACCACCACCACTACTACTACTACTACTACTACTACTACTACTACTACTACTACTACTACTACGTCTACTACTACTGCTGCTACTACTGCAACTACTAATACTACTACTACCACTACTACTACTACTACTACTACTACTGCTGCTGCTGCTACTACTACTACTACTACTACGACTACTACTACTCAGGCGACTACTGCTACCACTACTACTACTACTGCTGCTACTACTACTACTACTACTGCTACTACTATTTCTACTACTACCACTAATACTAGTACTACAACTACTACTACGATTACGACGACTACTACGACTTCGCCTACGGCTATTACTACTTCTATTGGTACTACTACTGCTGCGACTACGCCTACTACGATGACTACGGCTATACGACAACTGGCACCACTAACACTATACTGCGGTGAAGAGTACTACCGCTACCACTACGACTACGACCACAACTACTACTACTACTACTACTACTACTACTACTACTACTCCTACTACTACTACTACTACTACTACTACGACGACCACAACCACCACCACCACCACCACTACTACTGCTACTACTACTACTAGTAGTAGCACTATGCACTATCACTATTGCAACGACTACTGCCAGTACCACTACTACTACTACTACCACAACGACGACGTCGACTAGTACGACTGCGACTACTACTAGACTGCGACTACTACTACTACTACTACTACTACTACTCCTACTACTACCACTACTACTACTGCTACTACTACTACTACGACGACTACTACGACTACTACTACTATTACGACGACTACTACTACTACTACTATTACTACTACTACTACGACTACTACTACTACTACGACTACTACTACTACTTCTACTACTACTACGACTACTACTCTCTACTGCTACTACAGATATGGCTTCTACTGCAAGTACTACTACCACCACCACTACTACCCCTACCACTACTACTACTACTACTACTACTACTACTACTGCTACTACTACTACTACTACCACCACCACTACTACTACTACTACTACTACTACTACTACTACTACTACTACTACGACTGCTGCCACTACTGCTACCTTTACTTATTCGAATACTTCTACTACCACTACTACTACTACTACTACTACCACCACGACAACAACAACTACTACTACTACTACTACTACTACTGTCACTACGGTTGCTACTACGACTGCGACTACGACTACGACTACTATTACTACTACTACTACTACTACTACTACTACCACTACTACTACTACTACTGCTACTGCTACTGCTACTGATACTACTACTGCTACTACTACGACTACTACTACTACTACTACTACTACTACTACTACTACGACTACGACTACGACTACGACTACGACTACGACTACGACTACTACTACTAACTACTACTACTACCTACTACTACTACTACTACTACTACTACTACTACTACTACTACTACTACTACTACTACTACGACTACTACTACTACTACTACTACGACTACTACTACTACTACTACTACTACTACTACTACTACTACTACTACTACTACTACTACGAGTACGAGTACTAATAGTAGTACTAGTACTAGTACTAGTACTAGTAGTACTATTACTACTACTACTACTACTACTACTACTACTACTACTACTACTACTACTACTACTACTACTACGACTACTACTACTACTGCTACCACTACTAACGCCACTTCGAGGGTCACACTTGGCATGTGGACTGGGAGGTTCGGGTTTGGTGTTGGGTTTGGGTTTGGTTTTGGGCTTGACTTCAATAAGAAACCTGTTTATTGCAAGCCAGTACGAACATCAATAGAAAGACATCCTAATAATTCAATGGAAATCGAATGAGAATTGAATAGGACTTCAAACAAAGACTACGAGGAATAGGCCTTCAAACAGAGACTTCTAATGAGACTTGAATAGGACTTGAATCTAATCAGACTGACCAGGAAAACTAATTCAAGAGAGATGCGAACAGGAATTCAATCGGACTCCAAAAACATGTATCCCTAGCAATGTTCAACAACAACTCAATGAATTTATGGGAATCCAAAAAGAAACCACCGAACCGGCCGTAGGCGAAGTGTGAAATACACAGATCCCGAATGAGGTTTTCGTAGACTGATATTGAGGGCCCAGCCAAAGTACCGGCCTTAACTGCGCGGGAACTACTGCTGAGCTCTGCTGAGCCCTGAGCAGCCCCGTGGAGCCCTGCGAAGCTCTGCTACAATCTGCTAAGCCCTGGTAAGTCGTGCTGACACCTGTTGAGCTCTGGTAAGCCCTGCTATAAGCGCTGGTAAGCCCTGGTAAGCCTTCCTACGCCCTGCAACTCCCTGCTGGGCTTTGCGAAGCCCTGCCACGCCCTGATGGGCTCTGCTAGGCCCTGCAAGCTCTGGTAAGCCATGCTTCGGCACGCGAAGCTCTGCTAAGCTCTGCTAAACAGGGCGACCCCCTGCTGGTCCTTGGTGCAATGTGCGCGGTGTGTTGTATATGGTGCGTTGTGCGTTGTGTGTTGTGTGTAGTATTGTGTGGTGTGTGTGGTGCGTTGTGTTGGGTGTGTTGTGTGTAGTGTGTTGTGTGATGTGCGATGTGCGAAGTGTGTGTGTGCTGTGTGTCTAGTGTATTGCGTGTTGTATGTTGTGTGTGTTGTGTGTGAAGTGTGCGTTGTGTGTTGTGTGTTGTGTTGTTTGTGTTCTGTGCCGTGTGTGTGTTGTGTGTGCTGTGTGTGGTGTGATGAATGTGGTGTGTTTGTTGCGTGTTGTGCGTTGTGTGTAATGTGCGTTGTGTGTGTTGTGTGTGTGTGTGTGTCTTGTGCGAGGTGTTGTGTTGTGTGTAGCATACAGTATGGTGTGTTGTGTATGGTGTGTGTTGTGTGTTGTGTGTGGTGTGTTGTGTGCTCTGCGTTGTGTTGTGTGATGTGTGTTCTGTTGTGTGTTGTGTGTTGTGTGTTGTGTGTGTTGTGTCTTGTGTGTGATGTGCGTTGTGTGTGTGTTTTGTGCGAGTTCTGTGTGTATGTGTGTTGTGTGTGCGTTGTGTCTTTCCTTGGGGGGTCATATTTCTGGCGCCGCCAAAGCCGTTCCTCGCGGCGCTCCTCGGAATCCTCGGAGCCCCTACGGGAGCTCTCAGGCCTTTCCGACAGCTCTCACGGCCTCTCGATAATTTGCAGAACCTCTGGGAAGCTCTCAGAGGCTTGTCGGGGTGTCTCAACAGCCTTTCGGGAGCTTCGAGAAACCTCTCCAGGAATTCTCAGGGCCTCTCGGAGGCTCGCAGCGACTTTTCGGAAACTCTCAATGGCCTTGCGGCAGCCCTCATAAACCGCTCGGAACCGATTAGAAGTCTCTCGGAAACCATCACGAATTTTCAAAGGCACCTCGTAATCTCCCAGAAGTCTTCAAGAAATTTTCAGGATTCACGAATTCTGGGGTGTCTTGTGGATTCCTCAGAGGCGCTCCGGATTCTTTGGGGTGTCCCTTGGATTCTCTGGGGGCCCTTAAACATCGTTTCGAGCAAGTGCATCCGGCCGTAAACCAAGTGTGACTTACTCATAGTTTGTATTCGGTTTCCACATACCAGTATTGTTGGCCTTACACAATTACCGGCCATAGATGGGCGGGACGCTTCCAGCCATAACAGAAGGGTGGCTCTACTACAACAACAACTACTACTACTACTACTACGACGACGACGACGACGACGACGACGACGACGACGACGACGACGACGGCTACTACTACTACTACTACTACTACTACTACTACTACTACTACTACTACTACTACTACGACTACGACTACGACTACTACTACTACTACTACGACTACTACTACTACTACTACTACTACTACTACTACTTACTACTACTACTACTACTACTACTACTACTACTACTACTACTACTACTACTACTACTACTACTACTACTACTACTACTACTACTACTACTACTACTACTACTACTACTACTACTACTACTACTACTACTACTACTACTACTACTACTACTACTACTACTACTACTACTACTACTACTACTACTGCCACGACTACTGCTGCTACTACTACTACTACTACTACTGCTGCTGCTGCTGCTGCTGCTGCTGCTGCTACAACCACTAGTACTACTACTACTGCTACTCCTGGTGCTGCTGCTGTTACGGCTACAACTGTGGCTTCCACCACCACTACTACTATGACCGCGACAACTACCACAACCCAGGAGCATAACATCCACCACGGCTTTCGGAACGATGGTCTTCGCAAACACGTCGAGTGCGACATCTACAAGCACCAGCTACTGCTATAACCAGACTGGATGGCGAGTCTCCACACGATGTGCTGCAACCAGCGCGGTGAATTCAACCGCTGGGGCCAACCATGGGTTCCCGCACGAGCCCCCCCACGACCACTGGGAATCCAACCACTGCGAGGTCACTGGCCCCAGCCCCACGGGTGGCAGCAGAAGCAGCGCCAGCTGTGGTAGCGGCAGCAAGCATACCCGCAGAGTGGGCACTGGCAGTGAGGCAATCGACTCGCGGAGGGGAAGCCGTATGTGGATCTGGACACATCCGTATGTCGAGGCCCTCCCCTCTTTGTGCTCGCCATCATCCTCCTCGTCCTCCTCCTCGTCCTCCTCCTCCTCCTCCTCATTCTCCTTATCCTCCTCCCACTTCCTCTTCACCCTCCCCATCCCTCAAATCTCCTCCTGATCCCTCTCATATTCCCCCGCTTCCCCTCCCCTCCACACGTGCGATTAACGCGAATGAAGTCGACGCCGCCCCCCCCGGCCCGTCCTGCAGGCACGCCCACTAGTTACGCACGCGAGGGGGGGGGACAAGGAGGAATTCAAAAGACACTTCGGTCAGTCGGAGGGTGAGCAAGACAAGCTGAGCACGAGCGCACTTCCTGGGACTTCTCCTCGTCCCCCTCTTCCTCCTATTCGCCATCAGACCCGGTCGACAAGGAAGACTGAGCAAAAACCAATGAGCCAGGCCGTCCACAGCCGCACCGCGCTAGTTAACCCTCCTATCTTGGAACATTGTGGGGTCGACCAGGTCATCGCCTAGGAGCGCAGTGGAGTGCAGAAACGGCGTTGGATCTGCTTAGCTTCAGCAAGCTCCTTTGTATAAATTCGCCCTGCAAAGACCTCCAAATCAGTCTTCGCAAAGTCGAAGACCCCCATCTCAGTGATGCATCGATCCTGGCCAGAGGAGGGGGGGGGACGCGAAAACGAGAAAACCACATCATATTGCACAGCAGGAATAAGACCGACGAGGCAAAGCTGACAGTGCGCGTCAAATGCTCGCCTCTTCACAGGCAGCCTCATAATGAGTGAGCGATGTGGTGTGATAGCGCACGCTGCGCAACGTCAAAGGCGGGACCCAGTGGCCAATCTCCGGGTGCCAGGGAAAAGGCCCCCCAAGGGCAGCCAAGACGACCCCAAGAAGCCTCCAAGCCCCAAAACTGCCCCAGCCCCAAGAGGCGCACAAGCTCCAAAACTGCCTCAGAACCACATGCACCGATCACACCCCGAGGGGCCTCTGGGGAAACCAGATAAACCATCCAGTTGGCTCTTCTCCATTTCTTCCTCTTCTTCCTCCTCCTCCTCCTCCTCCCCCTCCTCCACCTCCTCCTCCTTCTTCTCCTCCTCCTCCTCCTCCTCCTCCTCATCCTTCTCCTCCTCCTCCTCCTCCTCCTCCTCCTTCTCCTCCTCCTCCTGTGTGCGCTTCCTCCTTCTCCCGGGCGCGCGCAGCTGCATTCGCAGTGGGCAGCACGCGCGATCGCACGTGCTGGCGCACCAGTATTGGCCAGCTCCAGCCCCGGTTCGCGCACCATGGAAGCCACAGCTACTGTTCGAGTCTGGGGCGTCCGCAGGTACAGTAGGTGAGCGCGGCGTCGGCGCGCGCACAGGCTCTTGACACCGCGTCGATATGTCACCATTGAATCGCTCGCGGCCCCGATCGTTCAAGGTTGAATTCATTCGGGTCCAATAGCGTTTACCGTACCGTGTCCATAGGTGACTCCGCGTCGCAGAGTTAAACCTTGAACGCCTTCGCCAGCGTTGCCCGCGCGCCAACGCCGCACGAACCTACCGTAGTCGGCGCATCCGTTGCGCCCACCCCGCACGTTTCATGTTCCATGAAGACCCCAACCACTGCCCCAGCGTAGGGCGTCCGCAGGGGGTCAGCGCAGCCAGCGTGCCCAACCCTCAAACTCTTCGTGCCCCGTGAACAGCTCCAACTGCGGCTCCGGTGTTAGGCCCTTGCAATTGTCAGGTGCATCCGCTTCCCCCCCCCGCCCCACGCTTCGTGCCCCATTGGGCTCCACATGTGCACCTCCAGCAGGGGCGTTCACATGTGGTCGGCGCGTTCATTTGGCAAATTTGTCCCAAATCTCGCGCCGCATTTCACACCCCAATCAAGGCCTTGGTGGAGGGGTTCTCACGTGGCCAGTGCATCCGTTGTGGCGCACCCCTCAAACTTTTCGTGCCCGGGTATGAAGCACCCAGTATGGCCCTGCTTGGGACACTCTCATGTGCAAGTTTCCCGCGTTCGCGTGTTGTCGGCACACCCGCTTTGGCCCACCCCTCACACGGGCGCTCTCCACACCTGGGCAGGACGCCTCTCAAGCTGTTTGCCGCGCAAGGCGAAGCTTGAAATATCTTGATGTGGTCATAGCAAGATGATCCCTTCTTGACGTGCACAGGAAACGCGTGCGGTCGGAGAGCTGTGCGAGAACATGCGACAACATCAGGAGCAAATATAATGCAAGCGCTCTCCCCGAACTTCCGTTAGCGACATCTATGTCACGCAGACCGTAATGGAAAAGGTCCAAGATGCCTCTTGAACCCCCTCGTGATGACATCCTGCGCCGCGCTTGGGCCTCCAAAGACAATGCCAAGACAATGTTGAAAAGCATCCTCCCTTGTATAGTCCATCGAAAACAACCGTATTGAACAAAAGCTGGATTCAAACATTGGCGAAGCAAGAAACCTCACAATTAGTCCTGGCGGAGGACCCGACCCTCAGCAGCTTCAGGAATTGTTGTCGTTGCCCTCTCTTTATCTATGCGCATCAGGGACGTGCGGATGGAGAGGCTGTGCGCGCCAACTCCGAAAGAAAAGTGGAAATGACTCAACGACGGGGGAAGTACAATGAACAAATGGAGGTAATAGGGCCAGCTGAAAGAAACCGACAAAAAGACCTGGGCCGGGAGAACATCTAGAGGAGACTGCAGGGGCTCGTGAAGAACAGAAAAACAAGCGAGGTCAGACGGGCGCGCAGAATGTAGGTAGGAACCCGCTTGGGGCCATAAATGAAGCTTCCCATGGGGCACGATCCGCATGAGACATGAGCCGCAATTTGCCGCCCACGCAACCCACGTGTTTATGTTCCTGCTGGACGGGGCCGGAAGCCGTTGAGATCGGATCGGGGCACAATCGGTGTAACATGTCCCCCTGATTGTTGTGGGCGGGCAAAAAGATACTTGGAAATCCTTCGGAGAGCTATCGAGACTTCTCCTCCTCCTCCTCCTGCTCCTTCTCTTCCTCCTTCTCCTCCTCATCATCATCCATCATCATCACCACCACCACCACCTCAACCATCATCATCATCATCAGCAGCAGCATCATCGTCATCGTCATCATCATAATCATCAATATCAGCATCAGCATCGTCATCATCATCAGCATCATCCTCCTCATCCTCATCATCATCGCCAGCAGCAGCAACATCCAAATCATCATCGACATTACAATCATCATCAGCACCATCCATCATCATCTTCGTCGTCGGCATCAGCATCATCAGCATCACCAGCATCAGCATCATCATCACCACCATCATCATCTGCATGACCATTAACAACAACAGCATCCTCAGCATCGTCAGCATCATCATCATCATCAGCAACATCATCATCAGCATCAGCATCATCACCATCATCAGTACCATCGTCATCAGCATCATCATCATCCTGAGCATCATCACCATCATCAACACCAGCATCATCATCGTCACCCTCCGCTTCTTGCTCCTGTTCCTTTTGTTCCTCGCGCCTTCCTTCCTGGTCATGCTCTTCTTCCTACTCCTCACCCTTTTCCTCCTCCTCCTCCTCCTGCTCCTCCTCCTGCGCCTGCTCCTCCTCCTCCTCCTCATCCTCCTTCTCCTCATCCTCCTCCTCTCTTACTCCTCCTCTTCCTCCTCCTCCTCCTCCTCCTCCTCCTGCTCCTGGTCCTCCTCCTCCTCCTCCTCCTCTTCCTCCTCCTCCTGCTCTTTCTCCCCCTCCCTCCTCCCTCCTCCTCCTTCTCCTCCTCCTCCATGCCCTTTCCTTCTCAATAACTTCTCCCTGTCGCACCCCGAGGCAAGTTTTTAGGGCGGGCCCGGCGATTCGCCTGAGACGTCCTCACCACTCATGACTCTGAAGCTGAAGAAATGGCAACAATTTCATAAATGGAGGGCGGGTGGTTTTTCAAATCTGGCTCTCGCCTTAGCGCCGCGAACATTCGTTTGAAACAGTTGCAAGGGCTTCACGGATTGAGGGCGGATCCATTCAAACATGTGGCTCTCGCCTTAACGCCGCGCACATTCGTTTGTTCTTTCATGTGCAAGAGTTTTCACGGATTGAAGGCGGGTCGTGTCCAAAATGTGGTTCTCGCCTCAGCGGCGCGAACATTCGTTTTATACACGTGCAAGAGCTTCACGGTTGGAGGGCGGGTCGTGTTCAAAATGTGGCTCTCGCATTAGCGCCGCGCACACTCGTTTGAAACATGTGCAAGAGCTTCACGGATTGAGGGCGGTTCCTTTTCAAAATGTGGCTCTCGCCTTAGCGCCGCGCACATTCGTTGTTCATTCGCACGGGTTTCACGGATTGAGGGCGGTTCCTTTTCGAAATGTGGTTCTCGCCTTAGCGCCGCGCACATTCGTTTTTGAAAGAGTTTCACCACGGTTTCCCATGATCAACGTACCAAAAATGGCATGTTGGAACGATTCTGGCACGGTTCCAGATCGTCAAGACGCAGAAATCAGGTTGACCCACGGCATGGAAGTCCCGAGAACAATGTTTCGGCATGCTTCAAGGTCTTCAAACGGTTGTCTTCCAACGAGGCAGTTGCCTCAATGAAGTTGAGCCGTTGTATAGGGCCTATAAAGAGGGAACTTGGAGGGAGGGTGAATTCCAACATCGTTGATGACGATTGGGTTTACACTGGTCCTCCTCCTCCTCCTCCTCCTCCTCCTCCTCCCTCTTTCTCATGCTCGATGTCCCAGGGGAGGGCCACGGGTCCAGGCGGCTCCATGAAGCGCTGGGAGGCCCCAGGAAACCCCAGGATGACCCAGGAGGCTCCAGGAAGCTCGAAGAGGGTCCAGGAGGCTGCGGTAAGCCCCACGGAACGAAGGATGTCCCAGAGACCCCGAGAAGTCGCAGGAAGCCACAGGAAGCTCCAGTCTCCGGGAAGGCCCAGAGCGAGATATGAAGCGGAAGGTGACCCCTCGAGGCCGAAGAGGTCCCAAGAATCTTGTGTGCCCTCACTCATGCTCAGACTCACTCATACTCAGACCTACTCACACTGACACCAACTCATCCTCAGCCACTCACGCGCACCCACTGACACTCAGACCCACCCACACTCAGTCCCACTCAAGGTCAGACTCGGTCGCGCTCAGACACTCATCAAGGGAAACGTTAACCACAGGTGCACATACTAAATCCGCCGACCCAGTCGGCATGTGTGAGGCGTATTTCCGTTTGAGTCGTCGTCGCCGTCGCTGCTCCCCCCTCTCCCTGGGCCCTCCTCCTCAGACGGGAATCGAGCAACGTCGTAATTGATTCGAAGGGAAGCCCCTCCCTTTGATGCCTTTCCTGGCGGGGGGAAGGGGGGGCGGGGGGGGGTCCCGTGGGCGGTCCTGGGGTCCGGGGGGCTCTCGTGGGGGGTCCAGGAGGTCGTGACCTCCCCCCCGAGGGCCCCCCCCTGTGGACAAGGGGGACAGGGGGGGGTCCCCCCTGTGGACAGGGGGGAACACAGGACCCCTCCCCCGGCCTCTCCCCTGCGGACAGGGGGACCGCCATCCACTCCTCCTCCCAGACACCCCTCCCCTGGAGGCACACTCCTCACTCTGATCTGCTGTTGCGGGTGCTGCATGCTGTCCTTCATGCCTCCAAGAGAGGCTTCAGATCTGCTCCGAGGCGGCTCCAAGTGACCACGGGGCTTCCCAAGAAACCCCCTAAAGAGGCCCCCCAACAGAGCCCAATAGGTTGCCAAGAGGAGTCCCAAGAAGGGCTCAAGAGCGTCAGAGTCGTCGTCGTCGTCGTTGCCGCCGCCGCCGCCGCCGCCGTCGTCGTCGTCGTCGTCGTCGTCGTCGTCGTCGTCGTCGTCGTCGTCGTCGTCGTCGTCGTCGTCTCCCTTCAGGGTCAGCGGCACCGGCCGCAAGGCCTTCCCAAGATCGCTCATACGCAATGACCACGTCAAGACACCAGGAAGAGCCGCAACGAGCTTTGTAGTACACGTATGCTCCCTTCTAGCAACGCCTGTCGCGACTGTCGCGTGAATGCAGCTTCGATGCTTCGATCGCCTCACCCTCCGATTAAACTCGGACTCGAGAAACCTAAGGCGAACTAGACAATATCAAACGCGCCAATTCGGCTTACGAGGGCGTGCAGATGCAACCCAGAGAAAATTCATCGCACCAGTCAGGAGTGAACTGGTCGCCGCGACTCTGTAGCTGCTTGCTTGCTGCGGGTGCGAGCCAGGGCTGACAGATCCTGCCCTGCCCCCCACCACCTCGGCAGACAGATGCCGACAAACGGAGCTAAATAATATCAAGTATGGTTGGAAGCACGATGGGGACTCCATCGCAACTCCTAGGATTCTGGCTGGGACGTAGCGAAAGGGAACTTCGTATTCTCGCCAAGTCCGAAAAACCAATAAGACTATGGCGACCACTGAACACACGAGCTAGCTGCCAGACCGCAAGAATGCGAAGCTGGGGCCCCTCAGCAAGGCCGCACACTCACACGCCCTGTACCTCAGGTGAAGCCCCGGTCGCATCGCCGTTGGCCTGCTGCTCCTTCGGCGAGCTCTCCTCCTTCGTGGGCATGTTGAACATCGGCGAGCTACCCAGCCTGCCAAAGGCAAACGAGTAGCCACCGCCCACGAGAATGGAACCTGCGAAAATGTTCCCGAGGGTCACCGGGATGAAGTTCTTCCACAGGCAGTCCAGCACGGACACGTCGGCGCCCGCCATCATCCCCATCGGGATCATGAACATGTTTGCTGGGATATGCTCAAAGCCGATCGCCACGAAGCAAGAGATGGGGAACTAGATGCCTACCATCTTGCCAACCATGTCCTGCGCCTGGCCCTGCAGGAACACGGCCATGCACACCAGCCAGTTGCAGCCGATTCCCTTGAGGAAGGTGACCCCAAAGTTTTCTTTGATCTTCTTCTCCGCCACTTTGCGAGCAAGTTCGGCCGTCAGGCCATTGTTCATGTTACAGGCCGTGACGAAGCCAGCGAAGAGCAGGGCGCCAAGCAGATTGCCCACCCAAGCCAGGGCGAACGTCCTCAGGATCTGCATACGGTGCAGCTTGCCTTCAAACACCGCGGCAGGCACGGTCGCCGCCGTGCCCGTGATCAGCACCCCACCTGTGAGGAGGATGAGTAGCAGGTTCACAGGGAAGAGCGCAGCAAATACAAAGGTCTGAATGGTCGGGTTGTCCTCGGCTGCGCTCTTCAGGCCGCCAGCCACCACCATCGACAGCATGCCACCGAAGCCAATGTAGCAACCCGCGTAGAAGGACTGGTGGAAGATCTTGATGGAGGAGTCGCCGCCCATCCCCACGCCCTTGTCTACCATACCCTGGAACGCCTCCTTGGGTGTCTTCACGATTGACATGAGCTCCGGCATGATCGCGGAAGTTGTTGCTGGCACCGGCAAAATGCGGGGCGAGAGATGCGCACAAGCAAGAAAGACCCGACGCGAGCTCGAGCCAAAAAGACAGTAGCCGGAAAACGGCTTAGGACAATGCCAAGACCTGGCTGGTACAGTAGCCGCCCCGCACTCCGCTACTCGCGCCCCCCCACATTCCTCCTCCTCCTCCTTCTCCTCCCACTCCTCCTCCTACTCATCTTCCTGCCCCCAAGCAGGGGCCGGTGGGCTGGTGAGGCACCCATGCGGCGCTCGGGGGATCTGAAGCCCTCTTGAAACCACCGGGTGGTGGTGGGTGCAGTTCGATAGCACGGAGAGTTCCTGTCCGGCCCTCACCAGTGTTCAGCACCAGGGTCACCCCGACCCATAGGGTTGGCGGGGGGGGCCCATGGATGTGTGCCACCTGGTCTGCGGGCTTGGGGTGGTGGTCCTGGGTCCAATGTGTACTCGCACCGTGTGCCCCGCACGGTGGTCGAGCTAGTTTCCAGTGTCCCCGATCTGAGTGGCGGTTGGCGTGGGGCGGCGGTGGCCCGTCGTTATCTGAGGCCAGGTTGTCTTGGCTAGGATTTGTTCAAGGCCAGGTTGCCCTGGCACGCAGGTCGTCGCGAGGCACTCGCAGGCTCTGAGGTCGCGGGAAACCTCCTCATCCTCCTCCTCCGCCGCAACTCCTCCTTCTGCTACCATTAGATGTCCTATGTGGCTGGGTTATTTGGGTGCACGTTGGGTTGCTGTATCCATATGCCCTCTCGGCACGCACGGCCGAATCAAGCGCTCCTGGTGAGCCCATGCGTGTGTCATGCGCTTTCGCCAAACCCCAGAAGACGCGACGGCAGGGAGGAGACGGGAGAGGGAACTTGGGGCCCATGGATCTCGAGGCTCAACAAAACACGAGTAGGAGGAGGACATGGAGGAAGCTCCCGTTGTCGATGATTTGGTTGGCAGTCCAGATACAGCTTTAACACCAAACCATGCGTTTACACAACCGAATCTGCATTGAAAGCCGGCATCTCTGGCAATCGTGGCATGAGACACAACAATGACGTCGGACTGCTAACGTGCAAGCACAATGACAGCAAAACATCATACAAACACACAAACAGACAAACACACACACACACACACTCACATACACGCGCAGGCGCAGGGCTGTCATGTTCGGTGCAGCTGCAGGCGAGGGCTACGAGGCATGCCAAATCAACGTATACACGACACCCAACAAATTAGAATGCCACTGCCAGCGTCGAGTGCCCGACTACTGCGCTGGCAGCAACTCTGAATGCAAATGCTGCAAATAGATTAGCTGGTTCCTGCTCTCTGGGAGGGAAAGTTTACGGCATGGCTCGTGGCACGCAACCTCCCATCTAGTCGTCTTCCCCTTTCTCACAGTACCAATAACACTGTCATGAGTTTAGGCTCCCGGGGAGAAGTCGCGATTCACTGAAAGCGAATCGGGACACTATCGGGACACGCCCATGCAACTCACGCGCCCGCACCAGTCCTTGGCGGCGTCGGAACCCATTGAGAAAGTTTCGGTTTCAGCATCCGTGCCAGGAAGCTGTAAACACATATGGCTGGACTCAGATGTGGACAGTGCGGAGGCCGCCTCCGCGGAGGAGCCGCACCCTGCCACAGAAGGGCCAGGCGCTGGAAAGATATTTAAGCCGTCACGTTTCGCATCCAGCTCTCGCCCAGCCCAGCCGCGCCATGCGCGTCCAGCTTCCTGCCACAAGCCCGTGCGACTTCGACGGGGGAAGGGGCTCACCGAGAAGCAGTCGAGGCACCATCGGGGCAGAGCCGTGTGCAGTCTCGCCCTCCTCGTCCTCCTCGCCCTGGCCCCGAGCGGACGGGCGAGAAGGTCCACGACGCGGGCGCCCGTGAGCGGGAGGTCGCACCGCTGCTTCAGCTTGTGCCTTCGCTGGTGCGGGCACTGGCACGTCGAACAGCAAGCGACGCGTGGACTGAGCTGAGCTGGGCACACGCAAGAAGACTGCGCCTGAAGCTACGAGGAGAGATTGCGTACAGTGTGTTCGGAATGATACCGAGAATGCCGCGCCACGTGCTGAGCTGCTGTTGTGGTGCCGAACATGTGCACCTCTTCGTATGAGGCTCTCGGGCCACTGGAGTTCCTGACGGGCGATCTCGGCAATCGCCTGTGGGCCGCTGGGCCACCTCTGGCCTCGCCTCGAAATCGGGCCAGATGCCACGACATGTGATGGCAGCAATGATTCACATGCCCACCTTGAAGGCCGCAGGGGGGTCTGAACTGGTTAAGGGGGTGAAGCCCAATTCCCTCAGAATCGGTCCCTAGTTTTTCGCACCTGACGCGTTTTTGACAGTCCTGGGGCCCGACAACGGCCCCCTTGGGGCAGAAAAAGGCCCCCAGAGCCCTGTCGAACCCAGAACCTCGAACCTGCCATGGCCATCCCTTCCTGCTGGCTGGAACCAATGCTGGGCCACTAAACGACCCCGAACCAGCTCCCATGCCCACCTGCCCTCAGCTCATGCCTTCGCAGGGGTCCACGATGCGCGCCCAGGGAGAACTCTCGACGCCGGCCGCGCTCGGGAGACAGGAGCACCGGTAGACCATTGGGGCCTGGCGGCCACGACATGTGGGGTGTGCGAGCAGGGTCGGGAGCTCTTTTCTCTCAACCTGTTCTGGGTGAGGTCAGCACAGAGAGCAAAACGCCAGAGGCCTCACGCACTCTGCATTGACACTGAGTGACCCTACCTGTCTGTCTCCCTCCCCTCCGCATCCTCATCCCCTTTCACCCCATACCCCTTCTCTCCTCCGCTCTTTCCGCAATTCTGCCCGAAGAACCTCGCTGATACTGAGTGCGCCTCACCCGTGGAAGGGGTGGGGGGATGAGGCGTGCACAGAGCCCATGCCACAGAAATCGGAAACATTCAAGTACCCTGATTGCGGCGTTTGGTCGATTGACTGCCTGCCGCCCTTGGCGAGGTGCTCCATGACGACCAGCACCTGGGAGCGATGAGACGGCGGAGACGCGGATAGAGGGGCCATGAGGATCAACCATCAACCCTATCAAAAGGGTCTGCGCAGCACATTGGTCGTACCATGTTTGGTCTCGCCATCCCACCTCGATCGTGCCCGCTCGAGACACTCAGATGTGCTATGCAATCTGTCCTGCTAGGCCTGAAATACATTGGGCACATGCGATCAGAAGTCTTGCTAGAAGGGCACGCTTGTCGTCGAGCTTTGAGCTGCCTGAAGTGCCCCAGGGCGTATGTGGCCCACCAAGGTCATCGGGGGATGAGAAACTTTCTTATTTCGTGGGGCACCTGCTGACAGGCCGTTGTCATATTGGAATGCCTAAGGAAAAAGTGGCCAGAGCGAGCGCGCCTTGGAGTCGGAGGAGACCAGGTCCATCGCGCCTGAGTCACAGGTCAAAGGTCAAGCAGATGCAAACCCAAAACTACATCATCATCATCATCATCATCATCATCATCATCATCATCATCATCACCACCACCACCACCAGCAGCAGCAGCATCAGCATCAGCATCAGCATCATCATCATCATCAACAACATCATCATCATCATCATCATCATCATCATCATCATCATCGTCATCAGCATCGTCATCATCATCAGTATTAGCATCATCATGATCATCACCATCATCAGCAACATCAGCATCATCATCACCATCACCATCATCATCCTCATCATAATCAACACCAGCATCATCATCATCGTCGTCATCGTTATCATCCTCCTCATCATCAGCATCATCGTCATCATCAGCATCATCATCATAATCAGCATCATCATCATACTCATCATCATTATCCTCGGCATCATCATCATCATCATCATCATCATCATCATCATCATCATCATCATCATCATCAGTATTATCATCATCAGCATCACCATTATCATCAACGTCATCATCACCATCACCATCACCATCACCATCAGCATCATCATCACCAGCATCATCATCACCAGCATCGTCACCATCATCATCATCATCATCATCATCATCATCATCATCATCATCATCACCATCAGCATCCTCATCATCATCACCACCAACATCATCATACATGTTCAAAGGTCCGCGTTCCTTTCTTGGGTCGGCGGTGGCCCCCCCCCCTCCCCTGGCGAGCAAAACGCGCCGGGGCGGCGCTGGAAGAGCCGCCAGGGCGGGTCCAGCGCCGACCCGACAGATCTGTGCGGACCCTCGAAAATGGATGCTCGTGCCCTATCGGGCAGCGGCTGGCAGCACGAGAGCGAAGGAATGACTTGGCAAGGTGAGCAGCCAGTGGAGAAGTAGGTCGGGCGAAGCAGGACCCGGGACCCGGACGTGACATCCACCGGCTGCGGGCCAGAGTCGCCGCGGCCGGGTGCCAGTTCTGGGCCTCTGCGAGCCGGCTTTCGGGGCCCAGGGTTGTCAACAGACGGCTCGGGCTTACAGGCTGGCCACTGGGGAGGGATCGAGGGGCCCGAGGGCCCGCGGCTCGAAAAAATCGGAGGGCGGCGTGCGAGCCACAGTATGACCCTGTCGCAGGGGACGCCCGAGAGGACACGGGCCTCTTCTGGGGGCATGCTCCAGGCATGCGCAGGACGTGTTGTGCGAGTGGCAGGACGCAGGGGTACCCGTCGGTCGGAAGTAGCAGGTAGGACCATGAAGCAGGAAGGCGTTGGAAGTAGATTGGGTTTCCTCCTCGTCCCCGGAAGAGGAGCGAAGAGGGAAAACTGCTCGACTCTCGAAGCAGGAAGGAGGCTTTGGCAGATGGGAATCTGGGCATCCAAAAATACCAAATTCCATAGTCTCAACGACCAGCGCGTAGCCTTGAACTGCAGGGTCGGTCTACTAGTCTTCAGTCGGGCCTGTCCCCTACCCGCGGATTTTGGACGAAACATTAGAAATACTCAAGACATTTTCAAACATTACATCTATATATATATAACAAAATCGCCCCCTGACTACTCTTCACTATGTTTGAATATTCCTCCTGCAGGGGGACAGGCCCGACGCAATACTAGTCAGACCCCTCCGTGGAGAGCAGAGGCAGGGGGCAGGGCGCCGGAGCACGAGCCGCAGCGCGGGAAGGGGGGCGCGGACGAGGAGGAACCGCGCAGGCGTCCACGGCAGCAGGCACGGCAGGGAGGCAGAGCCAGCCAGAGGCGAGGGGAAGGGCGGGGAAGGAGAGGAGGGGGAGGGCAGGAGGCGCGAAGGAGGTGGGAGAGAAGGGGAGGGGAGGGCAGGGGGAGTGCGAGAGCCGAGGAGCGGAGGGGGGGGGAGGGGAGGGGGCAGTGCGGGACACGAGCAGGAAGGCCCAGTGTCCAGGCATGCCACCCGCCGTCGCGACTCTCTGCCACAGCCTGCACGACCTCCACTCTCTCCATCTATCTCGCTCTTTCTCTGGCTCTCGGCCCCAGACCTCCGACGACCCGCCCTTTTCGAGCCGCAGCCTCGAGGCGCCCCTTTGTCAGGATTTCTCATTCCGAATCCTTTTCTGACGGTCCTGGGGCCCTGGAGGCCAAGAAGCGGCCTCCGGACAACGAGAATTCGCCACGACTACATCGGCCCAGGTTTTTGATTATTGACAAAGCACGTGTGGAAATGTTGGGGCGTGGTTTACTTGCGCGTCCAACGTGTCATTTCACATCGCGCCTTGAGGTTCCTCGGCGCGTCTACGGGACGACCCCGGCATTCGTTGCGCGTCCCCCTCATCTCCGCCATTTGCGGAAAATGGCGGAGATGAGGGAGAACGCAAAAAGGGTGCCGGCCCAGGGGGGAAACATCGAGTCGGAATCAGCGAAATATAAAAAACGCCGAAAGATCGGCGATAGGCCCCCGAGTGCGAATCCGCACGGTCCTGAGCGGGGTGGACCATCGGGACCCTCTCGACCATGAGTGGATGCAACGCACGCTGAGCCTATCCCCCCCTGACATTGCCCCTAAAGAAAAACCTCCAGCACCGTTTTTCTCGAATCGCTGGAGACCACCTGGAGGTCCAGAGTCTCACCCACCCTGCCATCTCCCGCCCCCCCTCCTCTGCCACCGCCTGCACCACCCTCACGCTCTCCCATCTCCATCTCCCTCTCCCTGCTGACATGCCCCAGCGAGCCTCTCCCCATTTTTGCCCGCCCGCTGCCGCTGCCCGCCCTCGCCCGCTCAGACACGACAGTTCGGTTCACGGAGCTCTTGAGTTTACGGTTGCAGAAATTGGACACCCGAAACGGGCACGGAAAATATGGGTACAATGCCCAACAACAAATGTTTTCCCAAACCAACAGCGGCCGCTGTTGGGCAGGCGGCCTTCTGTCGCGGATGGACACAGGCCGCGGCGGCGCGGACAGCGAGTCCTGTTCAACATGAACAGGAGCTGCTGTTGGGCATTGTACCCACTCCTTCCGTACCCATTTCGTTCGTGCCGACAGAAGACCTTGAAGGTCCCGGCGGGCGGCGGCCCGCCACTTGAGGGTAGCGCAGCTGGCCGATTTGCCCCGGCCAGCTCCCGCCTCCGCAGCGCTCGCGCGGAGGCCTGCACGGCGCGCCCGGTGGGCGGGGGCTGCGCGCCCGCCTGCAGGGGAGCAGGCCGGCAGCGCGGCCGGCGAGCCCGCACCCGTTGGACTGCCTGGGCGGTGTCAGTGACATCCTCCCGGCAGCTGCGCGGCTCCACGCGGTGTGCAGCAGTACCACTGCGACTCCTGTCTCATTCCACGGCAGCGGCCCAGAGCCGCGTGCAGCAGGCCTGTCGAGGGTATCGAAGCTGGAGTTCGAGGAGGACATCCCGCTCTGCGACGGAGATCCTGTGCTCTTCGAGGAATATCAGGAGAGGGCTCGAGACGCCTTCTACGGACGCATGGGTGACGAAAAACAGATACCGACGCCGATCAACCTAAGGAACGGCCTCTCGGGCACGGCCTACGACGCAGTCCGGTCGCTCTCGCACCAGCAGCTGCTAACCGTCGAGCTGGAGACGGTCGAGAGTGGCGGCAAGGGTGGCGGCAGCTACGAGATGAAGAAGAAGAAGAAGAAGAAGAAGAAAAAGGCGACCACCGAGGGACTGGAGTAGTTGCTCACGACCCTAGGCGAGCCCGTGCTGAAGGAGAGACCTGTTTGTGCAGCTGAGCTGTTCGACGGTGCGCAGTACGACAAGGCAGTCTGGAGGTCACCCGGCGAGAGCATGCAGGAGTATATCGCCAGACGCTCGAAGGCATTCGATGACCTCACGAAGGTCAGCGAGGAGACGAGTATCAACAACGATTTGCAGGCTCATCTTCTCTTGAAGTTCTCAGGGCTCGAGAAGTCCGACCACACCAGCATCATCAGCAGCGCTGGCAACAAGTATGACAAGGAGGCCTTCAGCAAGGCGCTCCGCATGCAGCACCCGAACATCCACGAGCGAGAGTGGAAGGGCAATAATGATTAGAAGCAAGACCCTCGACCCTAGCGGTTCGGTCAGCGACGGCACCACCACTGACATCAGCATCACAAGTCAGCGTGGCAGGCTGGCATACAAGAAGAAGGAGAGTACGAATGCGAAGATGACGGCGCAGCCTCCGCTAGCCAAGGCGCCCAGTCACCTGCGGGGAGCGACTACGAGGCGGTCTACCTTGACGAGGACGAGGCGACGCTGGAGGAGATATACCAGAAGTACGACAGGGCGCTCGAGAGCTTCGCGGCCATCGTGCAGCACAAGCAGAGGTTCCACGGCAAGGGCGGCGGACGTGGCCGAGGCCGTGGGCGTGGCCGCGGCGATCGGCAAGTTCGAGGGACAATCCGACGGGGCGAGCCAGGAGTGGTCTGGGCGAGAACCCAGAGCGGCGAGCCCACATCGAGAAGCTGAAGCGAACGACCAGGTGTGCGAGTTGCGGGCAGATCGGACATTGGCATGGAGATCCCAACTGTCCGAAGTTCGAAGTCATCGAGATCATCGCCACCTCCCTCGGACAGGCCGAAGAGTAGCTACTTCAGCGTGACCGACTACGACGGCAAGAGTAATGGCGGCGAGGTCAGGCTCGCTGAAGCGTTCGTGGCAGCTTCGATGGACAGCTTGGGGCACTACCGAAGGCGAAGCCCAAGCCCGAGCCGAATCCAGATCCGAGGAAGGCGACAGTTGACGTCTACTGCGAACCGCCCGCGAGGCAGAGCCACGGACCATTGACCATCATGAAATATCCCTGCCAGCACGAAATCGACGCGCACCCGAGACTGCACAAGGGCGCTAACGGGATTACGCGGCACCTCACGTGTCACATGTGCGACCAGGGCGGCATCCACGCTACCAAGGCGTACCGACCGAGATCTGTACGAAAGGACAGGCAGGGTCTCTGGAGGTTCCTGATGTGCTCGCTGTTCTACACGCCGAGAGGACAGAGGGTCTGGAGCGCATTCCAGCGACAAGGACCGAG